ATTTTATTTCATTTATTTATTTTCTCAAATCTCGTTCTTGTGCTTTTTTCTAGTTTTTTTTTCACTTAGTGTCTTTATTTTCAAGTAGAAATCTAATTACAATTTGAAACTTCGTAATATTTTATTGTCCGTTATTTCAACTATTAGGAGAGGGAATGAGATTTTCTCATTTACCAACAATTAAAGAACTAACATTGTCACAACTGCTGCAATTTTGTTTCATAGATTAATAAAACTTTTCAATTATTTGAAATTGAAAATATTCAGCAGTAAAAAGACTAGTAAATCATACAAATAACACGACAAATAATGCCTCTCACTTTATCCTTCCAGCTTAGAACCCATATGAAACTTTTATTTCAAATAAATAAAAATACCGAATAGGATGTGTAGTTTACTTTCAATATATTCTGCAACCTTTTGGAAAGGGACTTCAATACCAGGGGTCAACGTAACCATATCGTTTGAAGTTTCAACCATGCAGAAATATTGCAGAAGAGCATAATATAATGCATTCATACTTTATTCGTCTTTTTCACTTTTTGTCGGCTATTGAGATATCGAACGAAGCGATTTCGACTTCAATGCCTGAATAAACAACACTGGCGCCAGCAACACAGTCTTTTAACATTTTTAATGTCCTCTATCTGATAGAGAAATGTCTCTTAAAACAGTGTGATGTTTTCTCTGAAACTTTTTTTTCTGGTACATTCTTCCAGAATTTCAGTCCTCAGTCTGACAATATTTGCTTATTGTATAATAAGAAAAGAAAATAAGACTTCCTGGATTTTAAGAAGAGTATTTGTTGTTGCTAACATTTGATATGAGAGTGCTTTTTTCCTCCTCTCTTTGTTAGTTTTAGTAGTTTAGTGTAATTGTGTTAAGTGAAAATGAAAGCAATTTTTCATTTGTGTAAGGGTTAGACTTAAGATTAAGTAATACATATTAATCAAATTTATATTTAATCAAGTTTTTCTTTGCAGTTTTACAAAATGTTTAGTTTTAAAACTCCATTTTGGCTGAGGGAACAAAAACAGAATTTCTTGTCAATAATGAATGTCAATAATACTTATGGGTTAAGCTTATGATTAACCTAAAGTATTATTAAACATTAAGGTTAGGCTTAAGATTAAGTAATTGATATTAAACAAATTTGCATCCATTCAAATTTGTATTTAATCAAGTTCTCTTATTACTTTTACAAAATTTTAACTTTAAAACACCTTTTTGTCTTAAATTCCCCAAAAATAGAATTCCTCTGCGCCAAACTTTAAATAAGTTCCAATGAATGTTTAATAACACTTAAGATAAAATAAATAAAAGAACAACCAATATAAACACTAAAAAATGTGGAAAGCTTAATTGAGACATTCGAAGTTGTGATATCGAAAAGTTCTTGTAAGTTTTTCTCGCAATTTTTCTCATCAGCTTTTATTTCTTGACGGTTTGTAACAAATCAACGTCTTTATATGCCTCTCTAATCAGTTATTTATTCATGCAATAAACCAATAATAACTAATTATTCACTTCTACATTTTGTCACTAATTTATTCACTTTACTAATTTATTACTTATTCATTCATTTATCAAATATTATTTATTCATTCAATTACACAATCAATTACTGCATCACAGTGATTAAGTTTTATAAGAGAATTAGTAAAAGTGGAATTATTTAACAACTAAGTGAATCTCAATTATTTTAATAAATTTACAGTAAATCCATTATTTATTACTCTTTTTTAATTTTATGTAGTTAACCCTGAAGAAAAGCATGTTTAAAGTTTTTACTTCTTGTTTTAATTTCAAATATCTAGATTTAAAGAAAATAAAGAATTTGACCATTTTTTTTACATTTCATGTAGTTACTTTCAGGAAACCAATGACGTATATTCATGTTTTTATGTCCCTGATTTTAGCAACTTACTCCCATTTATATTTCCAGTGCTAAATATATAGCCACGAACAAAGTTGTTACTATTTTGCTTAAAACTACCAATAATTATTGTTTCGTCCGGAATTTTAATGAGGTATTTCGAAGATATGAAATAACTTTAGGTCTTAAAAGAGACTGAAGTGTAATGATTGATAATAAATATTTGAGAATACGTATCAAAAATAAATTTTATTACAAGCACATAAAACACTGAGCACAATAAATTAAAATTTACATTAATGATAAATTTAATAAGTGACATTTAAATTTGTTGAAAGGTACATAATTTTAAGAATTCCGTTAAAAGTATAACATTACTATTTAGTAAATAAAAAAATTAAAATTTAATGTAATCAGATAAGTTTTATGTATAAATGAAACTAAATCCCTGCGATGAAGTTTAAAATAAATTAATAATTTGTAAACAGTACAGTGTAGGTTTCACTTGTTGCTTTAAATATTAAGCACTGAATTTTAAGCATTTTCATAAAAATTTAACGCTATTTAATCAAAATCTTTAACTTAATCATAAAAGCTCTCGTCAATCGGAAATTACGACTATTGATACATGACGTTAAATATTTAAGTAAATCGGATGAAAACTGTAAAAGTTGTCTTGTCTGCGAATGTAAAAACGTTGGTATATATATATATACATATGCACTCACAAATTTCAGAGCGATGATCTCCTTCAACCGTTGAGGTGTCAATATTTTCAACTTACAGTATTTCTATATCGTCTATATCGATTAATGAAATATCACAAAAAGAATTGTACAGCTAGTTAATGAAATAATCAATGCCACTGAAGTCTATCGAATATAATGTTCATGAATTCGGTGCAAGAATTTTTACAATAGCATGATTCTGATGGATCAGCAATGAAAACTATTCAAAAATCTTCCATTGTATATGTTATGCATCTTTAAGCCGGTATACTCACTTCGTTCAAGTTGTATTTTGATTTCCCATATATCCACCTATGAAAATAATAAAATACACTTTCATTAAATTTATTTTATGTGTTAAAAAAAGGGACTGATATGACAGGATATTTCCCATTTGAAATTTTAGCTCAGATTATATATATATATTATTTATTGTGTAAAATCTTATTCTTGTGCTTTTTGCTAATTTTTTTTCTCTTAGTTTCTTTTTTAAGTAGATATCTGGTTACAATTTGAAACACTTTTTCGTCCATTATTTTAACAATTTGAAGAGAGAAGGAAAGTTTTTATTTACGAATAGTTAAAGAACTAACATTATTGTATCATCCAAAAATTACCTCTTTATATATATTTATTAAATGTTTCTAAAAATAGAATCGTACTTGAAGTTTTTTTTTCTTTAAAAGAAGAATGTAAGTATTATTTTAATAAATTTAAAAATTACAAAGAGTTCTGTCTTATTAATAATCCATACATTTTAAATTTTACTGAACAAAATTTTATTTTATTTCATTTATTTATTTTCTCAAATCTCGTTCTTGTGCTTTTTTCTAGTTTTTTTTTCACTTAGTGTCTTTATTTTCAAGTAGAAATCTAATTACAATTTGAAACTTCGTAATATTTTATTGTCCGTTATTTCAACTATTAGGAGAGGGAATGAGATTTTTTCATTTACCAACAATTAAAGAACTAACATTGTCACAACTGCTGCAATTTTGTTTCATAGATTAATAAAACTTTTCAATTATTTGAAATTGAAAATATTCAGCAGTAAAAAGACTAGTAAATCATACAAATAACACGACAAATAATGCCTCTCACTTTATCCTTCCAGCTTAGAACCCATATGAAACTTTTATTTCAAATAAATAAAAATACCGAATAGGATGTGTAGTTTACTTTCAATATATTCTGCAACCTTTTGGAAAGGGACTTCAATACCAGGGGTCAACGTAANCTAGGCAGAAGTGAGTAGTCTTTGTCGATAGATCTCTATTTTAGTATTTTGTCGAAAGCGCTTTTTTTCACGAATTTATATGTTACGAATTGATTTGACGATTTTTGATTTATATCACGAATTATACTATAGCACATTTCTAATAGGTTTAATGAATTACATGTCATTTATTTGAATTCAAATTTATTTTAATGACTTAGTATTTACTAAAAAGATGTAATTTTTTTTTAAAAAAAAAGTTGTTATATGGATTTGAATGATTGTTTTGAATTCTTAGAATTTTGTGCATTTGCAATGTATCTAAGTTAGTAGTGAGCGAAGCGAGCTTGGTTTGCGAACCAAACCATATAAGATTGCGTAGCAATTTTCGGGGGATGGCGAGCGTTAGCGAGCAGGGGGTGCAGCCCACAAGTAATATTTTAAACTTTGAAACACCGAAAAAGCTTAAAAGTGCAGAGAAAAAATAACTAATATACAGAATGAAATTAAATATTTTTATTACAGTTTATGCTTTGAAAGTTCATGCCTGAAAAGTTACTGCTACTATGGTACCTCCGTAAATATTTTAGTCGTTACCTATTTCTTATTCTAAAATTTATAAACAATCTAAAACTACAATATGGTGGTACAATGAGCTATATATAACACTATCATTTCATACTTTTTCAAAAGTGGCCAAATGATTCAATAACAATGCCTCAATAATTAGGCCAAATATTTAAAATGTGTAAACAAATGATTAAAGAAAATAGTGACAAGATAATTAAAAGTATAAACTTCAAATAATTTCAATAAAAATTTAGCAATACAAAAAAAACATTTCTTCCTGAAATATCAATTATTTTTTTATTCATATTATAAATAATTTTTCCTAACTTGCAACAGTTCCCTAATTACAACAGTTCCTAAATATCGAATTAAAAATGATAAAAAAATTAATAAAAACCAAATTTATTAATTTTATCTTTATTAATTCTATATTTAAATCCAAATTTTAAATTTAAGAAAAAATTGGAATTAAAATTTATTGCAAATCAGAGTGTGAAAAACGCAGTAAACTAAAATGTGACACAATATTAAACTTCCTCATTTTCAACTTTCATAATTCCTGATAATTTATCATCTCAAAATGATTACTTGAAGAGCCAACCTTCCATTAATTATAACAAACTAAATGCAATTCTAACCTATTTCCTCTTTATCAACAATTTTTGACAAACCAGTTCTAATTGCTAAATTCGTAAATCCACTCAAAATACCAGCAGCAGTTCCTAAAAAATAATTAAAGGTTTAAAGAATGAATATTTATATATATCTATAACAGATGTAAGATATATAATATACAATAATACAAAAACTTTAAAATAATAAAAAGTGTTGTAACTCATAAGCTGTAATGAAGCCAGACAATTTTTTCGTTCTAAGTTATTTTTTGTTACAAGCTCGCATTTTCTGTATCTTTCATGCAGTTTCAGTCTTTGTTATATTTATTTACTTATTTATTTTATTTATTTGTTATTTTTTTAAAAAAATTTCTAACCTTATCCTCTCTCATTTTTACCACTTATTTTTTATATGACAACGTGTACACATTCCATACCTCATAAAAATATAATTTCCGTCTACCCATTTTTTGTAGTGTATTCTTACCTGACATAATAATCACATGATATAGTTATCAACTTAACATTATTAAAAGTTGTGAGGGTTTTTACTTTACTTTATTTATTTATTCCATCGTTTAATAATATTTTACTTATTTAATCACCATTTTACAATTTGTGCTCGGATTTACTTTCATAATAAATTTTATGAAAAACGTCATCTTCAATTAAAATAATAAAAATGCAAACATTTTAAATTGTAAATTAATGTTAGGAAATAACTGACACACTGTCGCTAAATACTTTCATTGGAAAAAAATATTCAACAAGTTTTTATAGTAACCAATAACTAAATACAAGCGAAAAGAACAAAAAGTTGGTGGAAAATATTGCAATGGTAGTCGGCAAAATGATAAGGTTTAAATTTTATCTCAATAGAATCAGGAACTTAATTTGTGGAACCAAATCTGTGTTAGTACAGAAAACTTTTTTTTAATCCTTTGGTTGAGAATCGCTGAGAAGGCTTGTTTTCGGTAATCAAAATTAAGAAATTATTAATTTAGAAAAAGCAAGCAATTGCAATGAAATAGAAAATAAATTACATGGATTCTGGACTTTTAAATCTTCCTTATTAATGTTTCGGTAAGATTTTACATGCAAGTTAAATTTTTGTATAAATAGTATTGAAAAGTAATTAATTTGAAATAGATTAGGTTTATTACGGAAAAAGCTAAAAAGTTGAAAGATACATGGATTTTGAAATTAAAAACTATGAAATCACAAAAAATATTTTGCAACACACATAGATTATGCATTAGCAAGCATTGTTGCACAAAATCTAATTCTCAGGCAGGAGGCAGGTGGCAGCACATTACAGTGGAGTGTATATAAAGGATGTCCTAGGGCATCGGAAAGCATTTCAATCGTTGGCGTAATGCAGAAACGTAGCGATTTATCCGATGTCCGGGATAAATGTCCATGATTATTGGCTTTCGAGCCAAGGGTGAAAGCATTTTGGAAACGGCTAATTCTGTGAACTGTTCGCGTACTGTTCGCGTGTGGTAAAAGTATACAGAGTATGGCAAAATGGCACTATCCAAAATCAGCAGCGTGGCACATGTTGTGCACCACGTTCTATAGATGACAGGGGCGAACAAAGGCTACGGAGATGCGTTCGGGTGACTAGACATGCAACTGTTGAGCAACTGACAGCCCAGATGAGCCATAGGGCTACCAAGAGTGTATCCTCAACCACTGTTCAGCGAACGTTGTTGCGCATGGGCCTCCGTAGCAGACGCCTGGTTAATGCACCTATGCTGACTGCTGTTCATCGGCGACGAAGGCTGGAATTAGCACGCCAGTTCAACTGGACGCCCATAGAGTAGCAACAGGTGGCTTTTTCCAATGAATCACGTTTTAGGCTCCATCGCACAGATGGACGTTGGCGTATACGGCCTGAAACGTCTGAAAGCAAACACCCTGCAACAATTGCCGGAAGGATCCAGGCTGTAGGAGGGAGCATTATGATCAGGGGAATGTTTTCCTGGCATTCATTGGGTGCACTCATCATTGTGGTAGGCACGATGGATTAGCACAAGTACGCATCTGTCCTTGCGGACCATGTCCTCCCCTAAATGCTAATGGTTTTTCCTCAGAATGATGGCATCTACCAGCAGGACAATGCGGAGTGTCATACAGTTCGCAGTGTATGAGCATGGTTCGAAGAGCACCAAGAGGAGTTTACCGTGCTCCCCTGGCCAGCAAACTCACGTGATTTAAATCCAATCGAGAATATGTGGGACCACTTCGATCGGGTTGTTCGCGCCATGGATCCTCAACCGCGTAATCTAGTGCATCTGACCACGGCACTGGAGTCTGCCTGGTTCAACATCCCAGTGAACACCTTCAGAAACCTGATTGATTCTCTTCCTGCACGTTTCGCAGCGGTCCGCTCTGCCAAAGGTCGGGCTTTTGACAGGTGGTCACATTAATGTGACTGAACCGTGTATGAACTTTAATTGTAAGCAAGTCGAATTCATAACACAACTGCATTTAAATATTATAATTTTTCCACCTCTTACCCAATTCTAACACTTTAATTTGTTTAAAACAATGTACTAACCAAATTGTCGCACCTTCAAGCTGCTTCCCGCGCGGACGTACATTGATTTCTATTTAACTATTTTCAAGAGACGACTATTTTCAAGAGACTTTATGTATTGAGTTTTAGTAATAATTTAAAATCTGTCCAGCAGCTATTAAATCACACAAGCTCCGTAAGTATGAGTTTGGAACATTTCAGCATAGTAGGCTGTAGAAGTATTAAAATGATTTTCATCACTATCGTGAGATACGGTTACAAAAAAGCTTATTTCAATTCTAGATCACGTGCTGTACTACTTCCTCACGCACCTCTCGAACTATAACTTGAGTATCATACAATATATATGCGATTCCTTGAAAAAGACAAGCTCTGCCACCAATAATTGATATGACAGTATGCGACACCATTGCACTGTTAATGCTTAAAATTTCTACAGCCATTTTAGAGAAGATCAAAAATAAGTAGACATAATTTCTTCGTAACTAAGTTTTTTATTTCTATAAAAATACAAAATTATTCCAAATAAATACTTATCGCACATCAAAATATTTAACACTACTTACATTAAGACTATCTAACAAAATGAATCTAAATAAATACTTAACGTATAAGTAATTTTTTAACGCAACTTAAATTTTTACTCACAAAATGAGTACTGATTATAATGTTGACATTAGATAGAGAAATACCCGAGTTTACGGTGTCACAGAAAGGAAATATTTATGTAGAATTTTGACAATGAAATATTATTGGCATATTATTGATATCAAACTAAGGTTTTTTTTTTTAAAAAAAAAAGGATATATTTACCTAAATAATACACTAGAACTTTGTATTTTGCGAAGGCAAGCAGAAAATTCTTAGTCATCATACTTATGGTGCCATAAATTCCAAGTACTGGATCTGAGAACTTGAAAACTTTTAAGAATAAAGGAACTATGAAAAACATCAGAAGAAATTGAGTCAAACTGAATGATGTATTTACTATATTGTATTTAGAAGGATTCCAATTATAGATATGATGTGCGTAAGTGAATCCCAAGGTTCCAAATACTAAAAAAATAATATAATTTATAAAATATATAATATATAAATAATGCAATATATAAATAATATGATATATAATACTAAAAAAAAAATAATAAAAATAGTTTGTTTTTAGTTATCGTTTCAGCTGATGCAAATTGCTATATATTGCTGTATAAAATATCCAATGCAATATTTGCAACAAACTAGCCACTAATGTGATACATCAGTGAATTAAATTTTTCTTTTCTTCAAAAAATTTTGTAATTACATAATGCTGAATAACAGTAGTAATAATTAGATCATTGACTACCCACGTCTAATGTTTCATTAATTATTTATTGAATTCAAGCAATTTCTAAAATATTTGTATAAATTTATCAAAACATTTTTTTCTCAGTGTTATTACCCGTTTAGCTATGTTCAGCATGAGTCTGCAACACTTCAGAGAAGGTCTGCTGTAATACATTTAATTTAGTTTGAAGCCTACAAATATTATTTTTGCAGAAAAGAATTGGTGATGTACTTCATTTAAACTCGCTAACTTTAGTGCCTAATATCTCCATAACTAAATCAAAGTATCTAAAATATCTATAAAATATCTAATGTTAGATGGTTAGAAATACCTTTCATGCAAGGAGGAGATATTTAGCAACAAAGAAAAAGAGAAATTTTGAGAAATGTATTATCTTTACCTTCATATGTTAGTATAACAATGCACATTGAAAGAAAATACATCCATATTTTGGCTCTGCCCTTGTTTTCTCGTGGCTTAACACTTGCTAGCCAACTTCTTGAAATGCTATCGCTTCTGAAGAAATTCCTTCTCTTATCTTTCCATGGGACAACTTCTCCAACTCCAACTGTTTCCTCCAGCACAAACACCACCCACAATGCAGCTAAGACGTGAAATATAGTACCTGTTAAATATACATAGAAGTAACCGTAATATTCGAGTAATTCTCCACCGGCAAGTCCGCCCACAGACAAGGCCAGCATCATAGCGATTTCAACAGTAGTATACTTCATCGTTCGGTTCTTCTCGGACGTCACATCCGCTACATGACTGTATACTATGGTCAAAAAGCAAATAAAACCACCTGTTATCTCTGATGGAAGCCTAAGAAGAATGCAATAAGCAATATCTGATTCAAAGTAAATCACCCAAAGAAGAGTTCCAACATCTGATAAAATGGTTCCAATGCAAGCAGCAATCAAAGGTATTTTTCGTCCATATCTATCACTCCAAGGTGCTATAAATATCATAACAAGAGCAGCAATTAGACTTAATACTTGGGAATAAAGCATATAGTTGTTGGACAATTTTTCTAAATTTGTTTTCTCAATAGGATAGAAACTAATGTTGTTGCATAGTTCTTCTGTGTAATTGTAGTAATACAAGCAGGCTTTATCCATGATTAAATTTGAAAGGCATGACATGTTGATCATAAATCCGAACATGAACAGGAACATCGCTGGTTCAATTGTTAAAGTTGTCAAAAATCGTAAACATCTTGAGCACCGGTTTGTCGATTCATAACCTATAAGAGGTACGTCATCTTGTATTGAGCCATATTGAATTTGACTTTCGCCTGTTTTTGATTTTGTCCATGATGGTTTTGCTTCCGAAGAAGGAATAATAGGGTTAGTGATTGGAGGTGATTTATCCATTGTTTATAACTATTAAATTCTGCACAATGTATGAATACTGTTAAACTAGCATGTTTGAGATTCTTGAATAGTTTTTTTTAAACTGATGACTAGTCTTTAAATGCTGAAAATGTCTGAAAGTGACTTCAGTTACACATTTTCTTTCTTTCAATTTAGATTAAGAGAACTTCATAAATGTTTAAGACATATGTTTAGAATTCACAGTCAATTTAAATTAAACTATTCCATTTTTCAGTCAGATGAATTAGCCTTTTTCTTCCCCTGAAATATGAAACAAATAAACTCAGAAAAAAAATTGATATACATTTTTTGCTTTTAGGTATTTGTTATAAGGCAAAAATATACGAAAGGTTAAAAAAAATCATATTTTCTATTTAAAAATATGTTAAAATTAACTTTCGAATTTTTCTTTATCTTCCAATCGTACAGTGACTTAAAATTGTCTATACTGGGTTGTATTTTATTTTAAAACTTGCTGAATACCTGTTCTTATTACAGGGTGAAAAAAGTATATAATAAATAAATCTGTCTTAATCGAGATTATAAAGCTAAAAGACCGACACAATTACTTAAGCTAAAATAATTCTCATTTATTTTTTATTTCTTGTCCTTCCTAATGACTTTATGTTATCGTATAAAGCAATATATGTTTTACGAAGTTCATCCCATCAAAGTAGAGATTAAAAATACACGGTATCATTTTGCATAATGCTATTGTTCGAGGTATACAGTCAAAAATTACCATAATCAATTTTCTCTAGTACTTATCCCTTTCGTTGGGCAGTAAAAACCTATTTCAAATATATAGGAAGTAACTTGGCACTAATATATTAATATATTTAGTACCTATAAAACACCAACTAACATAATAACAGTAGTACCTATTACCAAAATTAAATAATGAAGAAAAGCCATCAATATTAACATATTACCATCAATAATAACAAGATGATTTTCTTATGGTTTTCCTAAATGAATAAGTATCCTTTTCTTCATAATTTAGCTTTTAAATACGAAATTAATTATTTACTTCAACTTGCACTTATTATAAAAATTAATTAAGCATCATTGGTATCATTAACAGTGTCGAAATTTCTTACGGTCCTCAAATACGAATAAGATAATCAGTTAACTCCATTATACTCTGTTACAAGTTAAGAAAAAGTCATTATCTCTATGGAGAGTGCCTGTTTGCATCTAAGTGTACGTCAAATGAATGCCAAGCTCCCAGCGCGAACGTATATCAACATCGCCAACTCTTGAAACGACGTTGCGCAACGTTCTCTTTCTTGCTTTCTTAAGACGTGTAAAAAGAGGAAAACAAAGCTTATTGAATACTCAATTAGCAAGTAGCAATAATTAATACAAATGATATCGAAAAATTGCCAGAAATATACATACGTCTTTACATTCGCATTTAAAGAAACTGATGAGAGAATAATAAAGGTTGTTTCTTGTTGTCGATTTTCTTCTCTACAGTGAGACAAAAGTAAAAGTTTCTTATCTCGCATTTGATTTGTTACGGGCAAGTCAGCATTAGATGCGTCATTTTTAGTGGCCCCATCAAATCTTGCAACGCTATATAATTGTTTCAAGAACGAATATTCTCCTTATTTATCGAACTATATCGCCCAAGTCTAAGATCACAGTAAGACTTCGAAACTATAACCTTTTTTTCAATAATTTTGTGATATATATCATAAACAATACCGCGAATTAAATTTTTGTTTGACGGGTTTAACTTCTGAAAGTTTGTTTTTGTATCGTAAAATTTGATAATGAAATAAAACGGAACTATATGCAATCGCGAATGTTTACCTAAATCCTATACCGCAATGGTATTTTCTTTACTTGCAACGGAGTATAAGATTTTTTTAGTTCCAAGTAACATTGCCTCAACGTTTTTTTTTTATTTATACAGTCTTTATTTTACATTTATAGAGAAAACTAATGCAAGGGATGCATATCATTATATAATTTAACTTACCACTACAGAATTTTTTTCAATAAACGTTATTCCGTACATTAAGACACAACAAGCATTTTTGTTTAAATCTTCGCATTGTACAAATAATATGAATACATCATATTTCCGTAATAAATGTTAAAAAAAAAGCTCTCTGAGCATGAGGTAGAACCCTTTAAAAAACATTGGATCTAAAAGTATTACTTCATAGGAAACTTAAAATCAGAACAAATCATAATAATTTCCCCAATATTAAACATTGAGAGACAAATTTCAATGATATATATTGGCTTTTTCCCTGCTATCATATATTACATTTCACTGAGATTTGTCATTGAAATAAAGAATTATTTAAAAGAACAAAACTAGAGTTGTTTGTAATTCATTTCAACTTAAAGTCACACATTCGAATTTTTATGTAGCTGCTGATCACTACGTTGTTGAAGGTTTTCTGGAGAAATCGTGATAAAAATGTCATTGTTTACATTATCTATTTTTATAAAAACGAAAAAAATGAACTACAACATAAAAGCAAATCCCGTGACAATTATTCTATCATCAGAGATATACAGATTACGATATATTTTAGTCGAAATAAGAACCGGATCTATCGGAATACTTTATCTATCTTTAACATAGTTCATTTCAAATCGTAATCCTTCTCTCCTAAATCATACAAGCAAACAAAAATGTAAATATTTTACCAAGCGTGTTAGAAAATCACTTAAATAGAATAATAAAAATCAGTAATTTTTTAGATATTTAAAATTGCCTGTACTTAATAATTGTGAATAGAAATCTTTATTTACACACGCAAAAGGAGAAAAAAAAATCACTTTTAATCACTCTTTGGATTTTCTTGAACTTAAATAGGATCTTAATTTAAAGAGGACTCCTTAAATATGAGAAATAATTAGCGCAAAAGTGTTTTAAATTATGATATTGGACGATAAACGTTGCTCTTTTGATAATTTTGGGAATTAGATTCGCGATGTAAATAGAGAACATTAAGTACAACAAAAAGTAAGACTAAATAAACATTTTGTAAAAAATATTGAGCATTCAATTACAGCGATTCTGAGACAGTTTTCTTATGCGCGAGGAACATTTTTTACAGTTTCTTTTTAATGAACTGAAAATGCAGAATCATGTCCAAACATTTCAACAACTTGGTGTGAAGTTTAGTAATATTATTAAATTACGTTATTGTCCTTTCTCCAAAACAATATAATTTAAAATATTTTTGTATATTATTAAATTATTAATTATATTATACCCAGGCGGGAATGTAGGGTTGATTTTAATGTCAGCAACAGCCTTTATCACGAAGCCCAACAAGGTTTATAAATGATTAGCAAATAAGCCTCGCAAGCTTAAATAATATTAAATTTAACTAATATAGTTTACGCGCTGTGAAATTTGTATTTATCTTGCATAAACAACACTTTTACATCGATTGAATCTGCCTTTAGAAAACAAGGCTAGAACACCCTTCTGAAATATAGGAAGAATTATCGTTCGCGCATCAAGAGTAGAAAGCGATCTCAAACCAAGGATGAATTCACCTTCTCAAGATTTATTTTAGATTTTTTGACCATCACTGATACAAGGTTTATTTTTGCAAGCATTTTTATACTTTCTTTAACACTTTAAAAGTGAAGGTTGGTTTGATTAAGTTCCATTCCACCAAAACCATATATAGTTACTGGTGTAGGGAAACACCTAGTTTGTTCTTTTACAAAACATTATTAGAAGTTTCGGTGTGCAATTAGCACTATTTTTAGGGATGAAGTAAACTGAATGCATTATCAAGTAAAGAGCTGTAGTTATCGTGTAAACAATGACATTGAATATATAGCAATTGTTAGTAAGAATCAAAGCGAATATATTACTAAAAATATGCTTATTTCTTAAAGCAAAAATTTCTGCAATTTAGCCATAAACTGTTTTTCATGTACAAGAAAATAAGTGTTTTAAAAAAGTGAATAAATAAATAAATAAAATTACAATGGTGTACAAATAAATAAAAAATGTGAAAACATGCTGTGTAAAAAATGTTAGTTTACCCCAACACCAAAAATGTGGGCAACTATACACCAAAATTCTTAACAGTGTACTTGGTGTAAAGTAGCCCCCACCATGTTTACTATTCAGTAACACTAAAACTTATAGTTACAGAAAGATATGATGCAGATTAGAATCTGTGAAGTTACTTTTACGAGGAATATAAACTGAGAATCAGAAATTTAGAATGCATACATAAAATTTTTCTTAAAATAAAATTAATTTGTTAATCAAACGTACACACATCGCAGACAGAATATTAATATGAAATTGAACAAAACCTAAGTGAATCGAAGCTTATTACTATTAAATTGTTTATACAACTGCCAGATTTATGTATATCTTATGAGGACATAAAGGTCTTTATTATATATCTAGTAACATACCTGAATTTCATAACAGTTTATATGAGCAGATTGTCAAATCAATCAGACAAAAAGGCTGAAATTATTTGGTAAATAATCAACCACAATCAATACTTTTGATAAATTAGTAAGCTTAAATTACTTAGATTACTACTTGGAACTTGATTATTTACTTAGTATTAAATATGTTATAATCAGTTCGCTATGAATCATAGTACTATGATTTCCACATGCTTTGACTCACAATTGCTATGAGTCACATAGTACACTTCTAGTAAACAAACTGCCATTTAAGCTACCATATTGTGAATATCATTAAATTGCATTATTATTTGCCTTCTTCCACTTATTATACATTTAAATGCCCTCTAATAGTCCAAAACCATTTATTATATATTTAAATGTCCGCTAATGATTACACAAAAAATTCATTTAAATAGTTCAAAAATACACTAATTATTCGTCTAAGTTTTGGAGCTCCAAAATACACAACTTTCTTCACCAACGCTAGGCACATTAATGTAAGCTTTATCAATTATTGGTGTTAAGATTTAACCACACCCTTTGAAATGTTTAAGAAGGCTCGAATATGTATTAACTTGAAGCAACTAAATCATTCACACAATTTTTAGAGCTTTTCAACACCAAAATCGGATAGGTTTTTTATACGACAGTTTTTACAGTATAGCCACTGATGGTTCTTTGAACAGCTTTTGGAGTTCATTTGTTAAACAAACTACAGCTACTTTTTGTGTTGCTAAGCAACCAGAAACGGTGCTACATTTTCTCTCTTAACCCACAGAATTTTCTAATTTACCTTCTTAGTTCCAATGATGTCACAAACTGTTAAATTGTGCTATGTTTTTGTTCAAAATGAATCAAGTTTACACTGCAATCAAGTTTAAAAAAGAACACATTTGAACGTTATTACTGGTCAATAAGATCCAAACTTTTCAATCGTTTAAAAGCATTGTTTTGAGAAAATGTGATTTAACGTAAGCGATGGTTTATTTCACACAATAGTTCTTTATAGAAATGTGAGCTGTATATTTCAAACATGTAAGAATTTTACAGTGCAGTTTTATAAAATTACTTTCGAATGTAAATATTACTGAATTGCATATTTTAAAATATAAAAAACTCGACTTTTTAAATATGACAATTTTGCTACTTATTAATAGTAATGGTTACCAGCTAGTGCAAAAAAGCTGAAATAAATTTTAGAAATGGCAGCAAAACATTTAAAATCTAATTAAAGTTTAATAAAAAATAATTAATAAATAAAACAGTATTTAAGAATTAATTAAGATTAATTTGAAGCGATAAACATGTTCTTACTACCAGTTATTTAACTAGAGTCTTAACTGTTTATTTGAAATATAATACAGATTACAAATATGGTAAATACAGTAAAAAAATTTACCTGCTTTAAATATCTTCCAAATAAACTTACTATTAGAGACTAGAAGTTTGACATCATGTAGTTTTAAGAAAGTCTAGCTTTGGATCTCTTGTTTACCTTTTAAGCCTTCTACTGTCGTAGGTTATCTCATTTTAGATTAATATTATCAAGGACTCAGATAATATTGGCAGATAATATAGGTTTTATAATATAGTTTTGTTATGTGCATCTCATTTGCTTTCTGATGATGTTGAAACAAGGATGATTAAATAGAAGTATTTAAATTGATAAAAAAAATTATAAATTCCTCTAATATCATAATGATAGCACGTGTCGATTTCGTGAGTTTATATAAGAATTAAAACCATTCTTTTTTCTACAAAAAGTCCGACAGAAAACTATTTATCTATTACTTCTATCAGCATTCTTCTAAATAAAAAAAAGTATATCATATTCAAGTGATTGCTAAAATCATTCAAATCAATTTACAAGAAGAATCGTTTTGTGTTCACTATAAACAAAAAATTAGTAACATGATACAATTTTGTTTTCTGAGCTTCAAAAAAAGTCATTTTATCATTTTTTTTCAACCCAAGCATAAGATAAGGAAGTTTTTAGACTTAAATATATCTAACAACTCATTAACTTTCAATACACTAAATTTTTTTTAGTTAGTCCAAAAGATACGGAAAATAATTAACTCTCGCATTAGAACAATATTTTTATCAAACAGATATACATATTTCATTTTACAATTTAGCATGATCAGCAGAATTTGGTCTCAAATATACTTTTAATCACAGTAATCTCCCTTAAAAGCAATCACTACCCCATTCACTCGAGGCATTCTATTGGTTAATTTATCCATTACTTAGGATCTAATGTTATTCCAATTGCCGAGAATCGACGAGTACAAATTATTTTGGTTTGTAATTTTTATATTTCTGATACACTTCTAATGATTCCCCTAGACTGTAAAAAATTCCGAATCAAATTACGGTAAATGTTACTGTTACGATGCCGTTACTTTTTACCGTAAAATCCATTTAAAAAAAATATGGAACAAAAGTCTGAAATTCCATAATATTTACTGATTTACTGTAAAATCGCTGATTCACTGTATTTAAATAAATATTACTATAAAAATTACGAAATAAAATTTTATATCAAAAATAGATCTTACGATACAATGATCAGATAAGAATAAAATCTAGTACTTTTTTCCATAATGCAGTGTAACAGCATGTCTAATTTGCATAATAGGATGTTATACTGGCAACATTACTTTAAAAATTTCCTTTTGGGTTAAAGCGCTAAAAATATTTATATCCTATCTATGAGTAATATTTGATACAGAAATGAGTTGAAGTAATTTTACAAGAAACAGACACACGAATATGACCTGAAAGTTATTTTGCATGCTCTGCGTTTTCCATGTTTCGTATACACAAACACAAAGGTGTCTTGAAGTTAATGACAGGCATAATTCACTTAAAAAAGCGTTTTAATTAGTTTTGTTAAAATAAAATTCCCCGCAACCTACTACTCCAATAAAATAAACTTATGCTTGCTCCCGAAGTAAGAGTTATAAGTTAAATAGCGCATCACGTTCATGTGCAACCAATGAAATATATATCAAAATTTTTTTTTAATTATATCACATTTTAAGATCTATACATAAATATCATAATTTATTCAACGAAATAGCAGCAATTCAGATAAAACTTGAAAGCACTATCAAAAAAAATATTGATAAAAAAATTTAATTTAACTCTTGCAAAGAAAGATTGGATAGCTAAAATAGAAAGTTATTTTCCAGCAGAAGGAAAAGGAAGATTAATTTAAAAAATAGAAAGATAAATAAGTCAATTAAAGAATTTATTATTGCAACATTGCAGGTATCGAAAACGTAGCTGGGTTATTCTTTGGAAGCATGGCAATTCGGAAAAAAAAATTTCTTCAAATTTAAAGTCTTCAAAATAATCTAACATTTTTTTTCGTATATTTATTTAGTTACATTTATTAATATCTTACAGACAGCAGTGTAGTTTATTGACATTTGCCCAAGAAAAAAAAATTCACCAAATTTTGAATGCCAGGAAAATGACATTAGCTCAGAAGTTTAAGAAACAGTCATTTTAAGCTAATAGTAAGAATTCAACTTAAGCCTTCGCGTTAGATAGACCATGAAATGCTTAAATTAATTCTTTTATCCACTGTAGAAAGAATCAAAAATGTTTTTGTTGCTGATATGTACAGAATAAAATTGTGTATAATAATCAATCATTAAATTTTAAAAAAAAAATAACTTTGATTACATTTAAGCATATTACAATCTTACATAAACTTGGTATTAGGTTAATATTTGCTTTCTCTCTTTACATTAAACTGTTTAAAAAAATTTCTGGTAACTGTTTCAATGTCCTGGCATTCATAAGCCAGGAAAATGACAGCCAAGATAATGATAATTTGCCATTATATAGCATTTAACTTTACTTTAATTTAACATTTCGGCCTAAGATGTTTACATTCCGCAGAAAACAACCGGATTTTTTAAAATAACTCAGGTAAATCTATGTAGTTTATGTTATTAATGATTTCAAAAAGCCAGGAAAATGACAACATAAAAACCTACTCACCTTGAAAAAATTTTTGAAATAGGTTTTGAACCAGAAAGTTGGTACTTTATTCATGCAGTACCGTCTTTACGCATGGGCATACCCGGGTAGTGCCCGAGGGCCTTAAGCACTCAGGGGGGGGGGGGCCCTTGAGAATCTTACTTTTTATAAATTGTATTTAGAAAAAACTAAGAAAAAACAAAATTGCCTTATATATTTTTTAAAATAAATATATTCTATTGTATAAAGTGTGCATTTTGTTTTTCTTCCTACAAATAATGATTGATTATCATGCAAATAACAATAATTTGAATAGTTCATCCCCAAGATAAATTAAAAAGGCAAGCGAAATCTAATTTTCTACTTTCTAATGAAGTTTTTATGTGGATTCAGTTTTTTGGGGTAATCAAAATTTATTTAAATTTGTTCAAATTAGTGCATGTGTTAAAAATGCTTTATTTAATGTATGGGAAGTTTTTCAGTTCGATTTTAAGTAGTATGATGTTATAAGGTCCCAAAGCATTTCTGTGCCCGGGGCCCTGCATGCTATTAAGACGGCCCTGTATTCATGCAATAAGACATGTTCAGATAGGGTGGTATTCTAATCAATCCAACATAAGATAATTGATTAACATAAGATATTGATTCCTGGAGCTATCTATTTTGGTTATAAATCACTAAATAAAAGTAGCCAAGAAAATGACAGATTTTCTTGTGACGAACAAATTATTGACAGAAAAGATTATTTTTAGCAAAGTTTATGTAAATAATACCCTCCGCATACATTCTAAAAATGCTAACAACGGTTGAGATAAAAAAAATTACATATTGAAAAATGTATGGGATGTTTTGAAGCTAGTTATTATAGGAAATATTTTTTGTGACATACCAGGAAAATGACATTTTGAAATTCAATTAAAATTTTTAAATATACAAAACAGCCAATGCTAGCACAAGATCATTTTAAAATACTAACAGCAATGCCATTTATTAAAATTTAAAAAAAAAGTTCTTTTAGAAGTATGGTATTAGATCTTGAAGCAAGAGACAGTAAATTGTCAGTAGACATATTTCGCGAGAATCACCCAGCTATGGATAAAATGGATTTGATCATTTTGAATAATTTTAAACCTGAATATAAATATATTTCTTCAGAAGAGATAGATAATAAGTAACATTTTTAAAAAATCTAAAAGCAATTTTAATTATTATTGTTAAGTATTTCAAAAATGCAAAAAAATTCAGTTTTATTTATTACAGCTAAATAAACTCTTAATCTTCTCATTTGATTAACTGGTTACGTTCTCGGTACAAAAAGGTCCAAAAGGTCTTTTTAAATACACAACATAGTCTTCATAAATTTTAAAGATATTCTTTAGAGTTATCTTGGAAATATAATATTTCGGTAAAAAAAGAAAATCTCTTTAGGAATGCTTTATTTGAAATATTTTCTTAAATTAAAAAAGAAGAAAGAAAAAATTAGTTTTTAAGTTTGCCGATAGATGGCCTCATTTCACGTTCCAAAGCTTCGACACAGGTGAAAGACTAATGCAATGTGAACATAAATTGTCAAAACAGTCATTAATTAGTAAATTATGAGCTTGATTTCGATAAATGAAACAAAATATGAACCTTAATTGCTTTAATTTAATTCTTAGTGTTTATACCGTAAAGGATTAATTTAATCTCTACTAAATAAAAAGGAAAAAAACACATTGCAGTAAAAAAAAAAAGTACATAATTTGTTTTTCGGGAAAATATCAATTTTAAGAAGAAAAAAAAAACACTGATGGATATAGAGGAAACATGGTTAACGCAGCAAACCGGCAGTGGAACCTTCCAGTATTTTTATAAATGTCAGTTGTTATTTACAAGAGCGCTTTATAAATTTTGAATGTGATTGATTTCATTCTTTTAATAGATACCATATCATCTAAAAATAAAAAATAATACAAGAAAATTTTAACATTACAACAAGCAACTTGTAATACTTATAAAAGTTATTTTCATGTAACTCTTTTAATTTGCGAGTATTATTAATTATAACATTTCACACACAAGCGCAAAAGTAGCATGTAATTTAAAATGAAATGTTATTTCGAAGGCGCAACGATCATTTAACAGATGCTTTGTTCACCTTCAAAGCAAAAAAATAACGAAAAATAATATACTTAACAGCTTAACTTACAAATATGTTTCACTTTTTTCCTTTAAATAAATATTACTACTTAAAAAACATTCTTTATTTTAACATGAAGAATTAATCTAGTACAATCAATACTATTTAAGATAAAGTAAAATATTTACCTCTTTAAAGTGTTCTAAGTAAATAAATAAAACACATTTTGAAATTTTAGCATGCAATGAAATCATGTTATGACTGTTTGTTTTCATATTGCTGTACAATTCCTGTTGAATCTTAGCAAGGTCACTTGAACATTAAAGGTAACAATCGTTGTTTCGACTTGCTCTTGTGAGGAAATTTATTTTCCGGGATACGAAAGGTACATGTAAAGTTCTTATAAAGTATAAATAGTTTTTTCTTTGCTTTATTTTT